TATGTCTAACATCAATAATTATTCGCAGAATAGTCAGGTGTAAAGCTCTGGCAATATCAAATACTATGTAGAAAAATACATAAGGAAATTTTCATGCATTTCTTTTTCATGATATGATTAAGAAAACTGTTCTTTTATTAACTCAATTTATTACTGCTTAAGAAAAACACCTAAGATATAATTGATAACGAATCGAATAAATTCGAAAAATCACAAATGATATTGGCAAAAAAAAATGCACTGCAAGCATATAAATTAAAGAATAGAAAGTGTAATTCGATAGCATTCTTCAAATAAAAAAGAAACAGTATAAGAGAAAAGAAGAAAAAATCATTGCAACGGATTAAACTAGAACAGATGATTTAATTTAGTCAATGAAAAGAGGTAACACAGAAGAAATAACTAATATACACAGTAAAATTTGTGACATAAAGTAGCTACTCCTATGTTATTCTCATAAAATCGAGAAAATATGAAAATAAAAATGATAACAGTTGTTTATGATAACAAATCATTTGAAAAATGATCAAAGTAAGCAATATCATATTGACATGACTAGTTAAATTACATAATCAATATGGATAAAAAAGCACAAAACTAGATTGACAGTGTAAATGTGTATGGAACTTAAAAATTTTGCTTTAATTCTGAACCTCTTCCTATACCGAAGCAATAAAGCATAGCAATGCAGATAAATATTTGGTATTAATTAATAATAAATTATAATTAATAATTTTTGTAGAAATTAATAATTTAAGTATAAATTAATAAATTATAGATGAAAAGCTGGAACTAATAATTTTAAACATCTAACATAAGTAATTTCTGATTAATAGAAGAAGTAATTGGAAAAGGAGAGAATTTAATGAAAATAGAATATGAGTGAAGAGAATAGAGAGAAAATGCGAAAGCAGATGTACATTATGCATATATAAACTTCACCGCCTTTTTTCATTACCACCGTTTTTATTTCGAGAAATACTTAAAATGAATCAGGAAATACGCTTTTCGCCTACTTTTTCCAAGACAATAGCAACACGGCATGGAACATATACGCAAAGATGATTTCGTCGACCAGCATAACCTTCCGGGAAAGTAAAATAATGCTGATTTTTATCCAATCGATTAAACCCACCAAATTCAGAATCATCAGTACTCAATGCCAGTGCATACCTTAAAATATTTTTCACCTATCTGACACTGTCACATATTATTTATATTAATTTCAATTTTTTGAATTGAAAAAGTTCTTAAAATTAAATTGCTGTTTGAGAAGTTAGTAAAACTTTCATTATGACCATATTTCTACTTCTATTCCTTCAATTTCATAGTAGTCAAATTCAAAACGTTTCTATTGATAGCTCGAGTAAACTCCCTTCTTTTCCAACTTTTCGTCCAACCATATGCATGGACAATTAAAAAATTGAAGAAATGCAACAGTATATAATATAAAAACTTACTCTCCTGCCACTTCGATACCAATTTTGTAATCCGAGAAACTTTTGTGCGTATGGAAATTGAAAATAAAAAGAAGGCCAGCACGTTCGAATGCTATAACTTTATCATCCTGATGCTTCCACGAAGTATATGCCTATAAAATTATGTACCATAGTTTCATTAAAAATGATTATTGGTTCATCAATTGTTGTTTATAGAATTTCCCTATGATTATTAAAGAATTTATTTATACCGGCCCACGTGATAAGAAATGATGTTTCTGTTCCAATTGGTTCATGGCACGATCAAAATTATTCAAGTATTTGTATCGAAGAAGCTCATCATCCACTAAATTCCATTGCCTACGGCAGTAATAAAATGACTCGTTGTTACCCAAACGTGGAAAATCAAGCCATTCTGGGTGACCGAATTCGTTACCTGAAAAGGAGAAACTAGATGAGATAAAGTTGTGAAGTGAAAATTTAAATCCAATAATAACTATGCAATGTTATAGTGACTGAGCTTGTCTCAGTTTTTACAGAATTTATTTATGGAAGATTGTATAGGATTATCACTAAATTTCATGACAACTTTCAACTATCACATACTTTTTGGGAATTACTATAAAATTTCATCTAGTTTTTGCTGAGAAAAAATAAGGATGAAAGAATTTCTGCTCGGAAATTAAACGAATGAATTAAATAAGACAGTTCTTAATAAATTAAAAAGATGACAAGCATGTGTAGTACTTACAAAAATCTATCTTTTAGAAGAAATTTTTTGCCACAATTAACTTATTATTATCAAATTTGTTCTAAAAAAATTTTTTTCAGTGAAATTTTTTTCCAAGCAAAAAAACATTGACAAATGTCCCAATTTCTTTACAAATAATTCATTTGAGAATTTCAGAGTTTCAAATGTTTTCAAGAAAAAAACCGACAAAGCAGCTAAAAAAGGACCAAATGTTTAATTCATTCTATTTTTTCTTCCTGCTGAAGTAACTTTCTATCAATTAATTTGTTACTACAACAGTCATTAGATGTTTAAAGCGTTGTTTAATAGGAAGAAATGGCTAAGGGATGTTAAACAGTAAACATTAAATATATAAGGTTGACGTATAGACCACTTACTTATACACATAAACAACTGTTTTTACAACCAGGCATTATTGGTGCCGGTGAAAAGAGAAGCATAATCAGGGATTTAAATCCATCAAATAAGTACTAAATTTTAGAAAAGCACGAATTTTTTTTTTAGAAAAGAAACTTTACCAATGAAATTCAACCATGCTTCGCCACCTAATCCATATGTGATAAGACGAATCATTTTATGCAGTGCTATACCACGCTCAATTATAGGAGTTAATGGTGATGTATCAGACATGAAATCGTACATTTCTGAAAATTCGCTCCCTGATGACTATTAATAATTATTTTTTCCCCTCCTTCCAATTATAAGTTGGATTTTTTTCTTTTTGAATATATCTTATTAAGAAATCATTCGAAATGTAACATTTATTGAAGAGGAAATAATTAACAGAGTTAACCTTTATCCATCAACCAAAATGCAATCGTCTTATCACCAACAAGAGCCTGATCGTGTGATTCAGCATATGCAATATGCTTCTCAGCGTATCTGAAATTGGTTAGCAACTCTAGAGATGTTGTCAAGTAACAAAGAAAATGTTGCAATAACAAGGAGTAATAACAAACAAAGAAAACCTTGAATCTTGTCATCACCTTCTATTTTCCAGTGTAAATACCAAATTAGAAATATCCCAGTCTTCATCAGAGAAATGTTTGAGAAGTTTAATCCACAAATCCGGTGCTGCCATCGCTAAGCGATAATCGAAACCTTGTCCACCTTCTTCAACTGGTCGACATAAGGCTGGCATGCCACTTACTTCCTAAAACGGAAAAATTATTAAAATCTGAATGCACCGTTCATACATTGCAAACAACAATTATTCACATTGTAAGGGAAGAATGTAAATAGTAAAGGATGTGGATTTTTTTCATTTTTGAATTCCAGGGGAATCTGATTTTAAAAGAATGAAAGAAATGAAAAAGAAATGAGGGAGAAGGTCCTTATTTAAATCGAAGAATTAGCGCTATACACTAGATATATAATCCTGAAAAATAGACCAAAATAATTCTAGTAAACTGTTTATTAACTGCACAAAAAACGTAAAATATTGATTTTATTATAGCACCAACGACCATATCAGTTAAGTTAAGATTTGAGGTTTAAAAAAATCAGTTAAGATTTGAGGTTTAAAAATTGATCTATGTTTATGTGTATATGTCTGCATGCAGTGATGATAAAAATTGAACTAACTTCAGCAATTGTCACAACATTGGGAAATTTACGGTGCAAAAATGAATTCGCAAGCATTAAATAAACAAGTGAGTCAGTATCAACATTCAGACCGAAATACATATCGTACCCGCCATCTAATGCATCGGCTGAAACAAGAACCTTTTTTCTAAATTATTAATGAAATCTGATAGTTTAGCGATTATTTGATCTAAATTAAAAATTCCAAAAATGAAATAACTGAAGTTAAAAACACAGAAAGTTTAAATGGTCGATAAAAAATATAAGACGTTGTTGGAGTGAATTTTCTTTTTCTTAATCGGAAAAACAAAGTACACTGAAAGATGACATTTTGTCACCGACTAAAAATGAAATTCGAAACAGCGGTGGAAACAGTCATTGAATCCCTTCAGTATATCTGAAGAACATTTAAAATTTCGCCTCCCTAACTTGTCGATAATAAACTTTTTGTTCGCAGAATTAATAACTGTCTAAAGCTAGTTACAAATTGCTAACAAAAATTTCTTACAGATATATGATGGTTCACTGCTGGAAACAGCAATAACACCAATTATACAGTTATTCACCAAAATTATATACCGAAAACACAGTTTAACGTTTTTCAGGAAGTCTCTCTCACAACACAAGAAACTACTCCATATTAGCGTGCTATACGATTAAAATTAGAATAAGCCTGATGTGAGCCATTCTTACCCCATACATATGGTTGTATTCGCAAAATTTCGGGGTGGAACATATAAAAAGAGCATTTTCGGTCACTAGAACTCATAAATTAACCTCTCGTTTTTCATAAAATTAATAAGTTATTTCAGTTTATCATTTACCAATTCCATGAGAATGGTATAACATCGATGTTACACCATCAAATCGGAATCCATCAAAGCCGTATTCTTCAATCCACCATCGAAGATTGGAAAGTAGGAAACGAAGAGTTTCAATCCTGAAATAACTTTTCAATTAAAAAAAAAAAATCAGAATGTCCTCTAGTGATCTTGTTATTAGTGCTTTTATTAACAATCTTCAATTCGATTAATAAAATTCTAATTAAGGAGAGATTTTGACAAAGACTTCAAGAACTTTCTGTGTATAATCGAAAAGTCGTGAATCCCAAAGGCTATGATATCCACGATTATTGTCATGGAAATAACTATTCTGAGTACCATCCCATTCATTCAATCCATCTTCTACATTCTTTGAAGCATGCGAATGTACCACATCAAGTAAGATTAGAATACCGCTTCGTGTGCTTTATCCACAAGATATTTTAGGTCTTCTGGCGTTCCGCAACGGCTACAAAACATTGCTCATTAAAGTTTTCGAACTTTTTTGAAGACAAATTTGTAATTCACAATATTAGTAAGCTTAGTCAGAATAATCACCACTTCTTCTCTTCTGTTCTCTATATCTCACTTAAAATATAAACTCCTAAAAGGGTAATTTAAAAAAGAAACCTTGATGGTGCGAAGAAACTAGTGACTTGATAGCCGAAACTAGCATAGTAAACGTGTTCCATAATAGCCATTAGCTGAATGGTATTATAACCTGAAACATATTACTTGCTATCCGCAGTTGAAAAATATCCTGAGAAAGGGAAAAGAAAGTACCTTGTTTCTTGATTCTCGGAATAACATCATTTGCAAAATTCTTGTAGGTATTGACTTTTCCTTCCGAACTAGATATTCCAACATGCGCTTCATAAATCCGTAATGACTCAGGTTTTGATGGTCTTGGATATTTAAAACGATAACACTCCGATTCAGGTGGGTTATAGAAGGGCTATAAAATGAGTGAACATTAATATTCATTTGATCCTTTGAAAATAGCAAAAAAAGACAAACTAGGAAGTAAGTTTGTAACTTTTTAAGCTTCATGAGAATTTTTTGCTTTTTGCTCTCAAACTTTTTTGAACTTTATTTTCACACTTTCAATTTATCTTTTGCTTTAAACAAAATGAGGAAAAAACAAGGAAATCGTTAGTTTACCATGTGATAAACTGTTGTTTCTTTCGGCCGTGTAACATAGTGTGCCCAAGGAGACAATTTAAAATGAAATACGCCATTTTTTTTTACTGCGACCTAAAAATAGCAAAAAATAGTATCATTTACATTATAACTATTTAAGTCATGCATCATTCATTCATACAATTTTGAAATTGGAAATGTTATCAAAAAAATTGCCTATTTCACCAATATAATTGCACTATCAATAATATTGGAAGCATACGATCAATCCTAGCATATCACTCTTAATAACAGAAAAGCACCTTGATAATCGATCCATGTTTAATCGGACAATTACCATCTTTATCAGCTGGAATAATTAATTCCCATTTGCCATATTCTAGTTTCTTGTATGGATGAGATTCAGTGTTCCAATCGTCTGCAGCAAAAAATAATTACATTCATTAAAACTACTCGTTCTATTACTTACAATTCCTTAACTTTATTTTGCTTAGTGCAATTTGCATTTTATTAAAGATGTAGTGAATTTCCAAACTTACTAAAATCTCCCACCAATGATAAAGCTTCTGCTCCTGGTGCCCATTCCAAACAACGAACTGAATTATCCCTCATCACCACAACACCATATTCTCGATAAGCTGTTGTGAATGTTTCCCATCCACCACACTAAATATGAATCGTGATTGACTATCATCAAAATTTAATTCTTGAGAATTAATGTAATGAAAAGAAATATACTCTTCCAACCAATACAATGCTATTTATCAAACGAAAACAGCAAAATATTCTAGGAGATCCAACTTAATAACATACCTTTAAGAATAATGATTACTGATTCAAGATTTTGCTATATGGCATTACAAAATCTTAACCTCTTCAATTCTCTTCGAATAATCAAGGAAAACTCCATATCTGCGACATATTTCAGTTTGATAATTCCATAGGTATCCATCCAACTTCAATAAATTGTCAAGTTGAGGAGGTCTGCTACTGCTGCTACTCATCGATGATTTCCTACAAAATGTTACCTGTTGTTTATATTGTAATAATGAAATTCTATATCATCAAATTTTGATCTCTGAAAGGACACTTTTCATTACGAAATCAAAAGGACAAATCACAGTGCAAAAGAAAAAAAAAAATCATAAATAAGCCTTTCAACCTTAACTAAAAATACCTAAGTAAGAGAAAAGAAAGAAAGGGAAGAAGAAATAAGTTAAGCGAAAAGAACTCTAACGAAAGAAATATTTTAAAATATCGATCAATTTATCTGAATGCTGACAATAACAGATTACTACTCTATCTCGAGGAAATTTTCATCACATTACGAGAAATTCTCATTATTTTCATATTACCAATACAATGGCACTATAAACAACCAAAATCAAATAATTTGAAAAGCTTTAAGACTTAAACATTTGTTGAAAAAAGAGAGAAGAGAGGAAGTGTTATGGAAAACTGCTGGGAACTTCATGAAACAATCAGAATGAATTTTAATATTGTAGAATAGCTAACATACACATACATACATACACACACATACACATACACACATACAACTGTTGATCAATACCACTGATTGATAGCTAAATAAACAAACAGAAAATAAAAGAAAGAGAGAGGAGAGAGAGGGAGAAAGTAAAAAGGAAGATGAAAGATAGATCCGCTGTAATTCTTAATGATTTCGCTTGGCAAATAGCAACATACCGTCATTTGCTAAGGTCGAGAATTAAGTATTGAATATAGTTGAAATGAAGAATTGAAATAGTAAAGTTTAGTATGTCTCATCTTTTTTTTGTTTTGCTTAACCGTTTGAAATTGTTTTAATCCACAATAATGGCAACAATTTATGCTTTATTTACATTTGTTTCATTCAAAATTACAATTACAACCACTAATCTTCGTCCATCGTTCTTCACTTTTTGTAAATTCTCTCTCTCTCTCTATGAATATAAGTATTGAATGATAATCTCTCTCTCACATTTTGATTATTTTATTATTATTATTATTATTATTATTATTATTATTAAAAAATTTTTTTTATTAAAATTAATTATAAAATTATTATTATTAAATGAGATTATTAATGGAATTATTATTATTATTAATGATTATTATTATTATTATTATTATTATTATTTAATTATTATTGAAAATAATTATTATTAATTCAAATTATTATTATTATAATTATTCAAATAAATTATTATTATTATTATTAAACATTAATTATTAATTATTATTATTATTATTATTATTATTATTATTATTAATTATTATTATTATTATTATTATTATTATTATTACTTATTATTATTATTATTATTATTATTATTATTATTATTATTATTATTATTATTATTATTATTATTATTATTATTATTATTATTATTATTATTATTATTATTATTATTATTATTATTATTATTATTATTATTATTATTATTATTATTATTATTATTATTATTATTATTATTATTATTATTATTATTATTATTATTATTATTATTATTATTATTATTATTATTATTATTATTATTATTATTATTATTATTATTATTATTATTATTATTATTATTATTATTATTATTATTATTATTATTATTATTATTATTATTATTATTATTATTATTATTATTATTATTATTATTATTATTATTATTATTATTATTATTATTATTATACGGTATTATTATTATTCTCGTATTGTCGCATATATAATTCTTTCCAACTTTTTTATTGCTGTTTTCTAATTGAATTGAAATTTAATTTCTTCCATCTAATCCTTTCCATTTTGTTCATTTGAGTAACTAAATCTGCTTTGCTTTTATATGAAATTTCAATAATTATTAAAAGACTGTGTGTTGCATTTAATCTGATAAAATCACTCCATAATTTATTGCTGTTAGGAAATAGTTAAAGTTTATTAGCATAGCTGTTCAATTCTGAAATAACATTTTCAGCTTTAATAGTTTCAGATCGATAATGATTTATTGGAAGAGTAAGAAAAAAGAGCTATTTTCCAACATTAATTAATCACGAGCTTTTCGAACTAACCAATGTCTTGCCTTGCTTCAATAATAGATCGATCTGTTATTTAGATTTACTTCATTTAAAAAAAAAAAAAAAAAAAAAAATTTGGAATTGCTTTAAAATAAATGAAAATTTTCCTTCTTTTTAAATAGGTTTTTATATTTGATAGACTTTTGCCTTTTTTTTTTTTTTGTTTCAATAAAATGTTTGTAAAGTGTTAACTTGAGGAGTATTAGAAATAGAAAAGAATTTAACAGAAAGAGAATAGGCAAAAATAAATTGAAATATTATATATTCAGAAGTTAAATTTTAATTTGATATAAATAAGAATTATAATTTCAGCTCAAAGTTTTAAATGTTGTAGAGTAAGAGATGAGTAATGATAATGAAAACATTTTTGTTTACAGTTCAACAATTTTGATTTATAATGAGACTTCTCTCGATAACATCAACAGAAAGCGCTATAAGAATTTGAATTTAACAAACTTTATGCGTTGATATGTCGTTTGTCCTTGCTCTATTTTCATTACTAAACTTTAGTAAAATCTTCCTGTGAAATTTCCATCGATATTTCATATTTTTCCTTCTAAATTAATACTAATATTACTGTTACATAGATGAAATAACTTACAAATTAAACAAAGTCGGCTTAGACTACCAATAATAGTTAATTTGAAATTTAAAAAGTGACATCTTCCTAGATCTGATCATTAGTCATCAATTTTAGAGGTGTTTAAATGTTTGATGATTGGAATTTTTATATTTAATTTAATAATACTTGAACGATGAATGTTGCACCACAGGAAATATTCGCATTTACTACTAGAATATTCGTTTATCAAAATGCAATGATAATGATAAGTAGAGAAGAGTATAATGCTAATTTCTTAGCTTCAGTTAATTATTAACTAGTTTAACTACTTTGTCATTAATAAAAATAAAAAACAAAAACATAGCGTATCAAATTATTTCAAAAAAAAATTTATAAAAGTGATTTAATATAATTATTCATATTATTGAAGCTGTATTATAGCATTAGGGAAATATTAATAATGACTAATACTTTTAAAAGTAATCAACTATGTCTATGAAGTACCTAGGTATTTAAATATATAATCAAATTAGTAGATTGTAAACCATAATTTATTGAGGCATTGTTGATGCTTATTTCAACCACTGTAACTTTATTTGTTTACTTTGTTTGTTTGTTTTGTGCTTATCAGTTTAATCACAAAATGATTTGATGCATTAATGGTCGAATAAAATGTAAACTTTTTAATTTGTGTTCTTTTTTTTTTTTTAATCATATCATATTTTCGTTTAGAAATTTCTTTAACATTTCCAAGTTTATTCATTCTATTCTATCGATATGAAAATATATATATATATGTACATAGCAATTAATGAGAAAAAAAAAAAGTGATGTGAAAACTTTTAAACATATTAAATTTGCTGGAATTTTTTAAAAGTTCAACCATTTTATTTGTTTGGTTTTCTTAAATTTCCTTTTTTTTTTTCCTTTTGTTCCTACAAAACACTTTGTATTTTTTGCTGACAAAAAATCAAATATTTGAATTAAATTTTATAATTAGCAGTGTAAATATTATTAATATGAAAATGAAAATTTCGCAGTTTTCGAATCTAATTGAATGATTTCACATAAAAATTGAACAAATTATTCACTGAATAATGTTTACAAATGCTACTACCACCCAATGGTAAACGTTCATTCAGCAAAATGTTTACAAGAATGATACGATTATTTCCAATCATTTTTATCAATCAATTAATTCATTACTAATTCACGATCTCTTATCTTATTCATTTTATTAAAAATGACAATCGATATTTTCTCCATCAATCATCCAATCTTTCTTTTTTTGTTAATTTCATGTTCAATTTTCGCAGTGTAAAAGAAAGTTCAATAAATTAATCGTTCAAATTGTACATATCGATTGTCTTTGCATGTCTGTATGTATTGTTCTTAATATATGTATTAGTATCTATGCATCAATCCCTTTATCTATATACTCTCTCTATGTATATTTTTGTTAATTGGTTAAAATAATTTCAAGTTTTTTTGTTTTCCAGTTTGGATACATCTTACTCCTACTGTAAATGAATATTTTCATTTTTTTTTTCTTTTCTATTGTATTTTATGAGAAGAATGAAGAGAAATATAACTGATAAAACATTTTAAAAGAATTTTAGAATGACATTATGATGGTATTTTTAAGCAAGTGATCACTTTTTCAACTCTTTTTATTTATTTTTCTAGTTTTATTAAATAGTAACAAAGCTTAAAAAGAATTAAATGCCATAGAATCTTTAAGCAAAAATGATAAGCGAGAAAAATCACAAACCAATCATTGTTGTCAACTGGAACAAAATATAATAACTCGAACTGTTTGTGATTAATTTGCTTATTAGCCTAAGCAAGATATAATGACCCTATGTACTCGTGCCGCGGCCGTATCTTTCATTTCTTTTTACTTTTTGTTGATGTTGACAAGAGAGCTTGGCGGGAGTTGGTGCAAGAATAACCTGTTCTTAATTTGGTGGAGAATTTTTGTTTGAAATCTATCAGCATTATATGTCTCAGTTAATCAATCACGTTTCGCCATGTTTTCCTACGTTACGTGATATTTTTTTTTATTATGCGATAATATATAATACTTGATGTTCGTTATCATATTACCTCAAACATGAGTTTATTTATAAATTTATTATTTGAAAGAATATGAAAGGTGTTGAAAGCATCACGATTAAAGATTATGCTTTATTGCTTTTCCCTCTCTCTTTCTTCTCTTTCCATTTTTCTTTTTCCCTATATCTTAATTTGATTTACAATTTAGTTTCTCAGTTTGAATTTAAATTGAAATTTGGATTAAAAGGCTCTTAGTAAAAATTCAGGGATTGAACATTAAGTTATTTTTATAGTTTCATATTCTTTCTCGGAAACATATATTTA